GCATGGATGCTATTCTAAGTAGTGAAGGAGACTGCTTACTGTTCTAGACTTGCAAACTCCTCCTTTGACAAGGTTCTCAGCTCAAGTTGCTGAGTGGTGCTACTTAAGATATCTAAGTTTCAAGGGTAGCAAGGTGAGAGCTGTTCCAAATTCCATAGGGAAGATTCAAAACCTAGAGACTTTAAACCTTAAACACACATGTCACAGAATTGCCAGTTGTGATCTTGAAGCTCCAACGACTTCGTCATCTATTCATATGTCGTTATGGAAACACATTCTACCCACGGTTTAGGTATGGCTTCAAGTCCTTAGAAGAAATAAGGGCTCTATTGTCCCTGCAAAAGCTCTATTACATACAAGCTAGTGACGAGAGAAACAACAGCTCAATGAGAGCTTGGAGAGCTGAAACAATAATAAGTTAGCCGTCTTGAAGTTGAGAAAAGAAGATGGAAGGAAATTGTGCTTATCGATTGAAAGCTTCAATCAATATCTCTGACTTCAGTTAGTGAAAATGAGATTGTTGATCTACAACCCCTCTCTTCTCCACCACCAATTCTCCAGATAATCTGCTTGACAGGACATCTCAAGACATTTGTATGAGGAGCCTTGATTTTCCTCCATGCTCAAAATGAGTGGCTGAACCTAGAATGCATATAATACTTCTCAAGAAGTATGAGTGATTGAATGACTGCAATAAATAGGTATTACTTTGTGATAAAAGTTTAAATGCATAGTTTAGGGTTTCTATGGGTCTATAAATGGCATTAAGCATCTGATAAGCATTTATGTGTGACGTCCCTTCTCCTAAGATACGAGAAGGGTCTAGTGGGATGGTGTGTATTGAACTTTGAACTTATTGGTATCGATGATGATGATGGTACTCGTTCACTGGATGGGAAGAAGGATAACATGTACGGAGTTTCGGAGAATTAATTCCTTCTTCGAGTTGTTCTAGAAAGACTTTTCTCTCTCATGAAAAGGAAATCTAGTTTGAAGATTTACATGTACCGCAAACTAAAGATTTTACAAGTATGGTCAGACTGGTTTCCATTTCTAGTACTTATATGATAGAACTATAAGTTACTTTTTATGATCAAATAATTCCGGGGGTGATGATAAACTTGAAATAGAAAAGAAAGCAAAATCGATATTTATCATAGACGTAGCGGAAGCGTAGTGGATCTTTGGAATGTCCTGGTAAGCTTAAAGAAGCAAATGTGTTTATTGAGAACATACATTAAGATCCAATGGCAAAAATTGCACTCAAAAGCTACTTGGGAGTCTGAGGAGGAGGAAAAATGCAAGTGTTCGCATTTGTTTGATGGTTAAGCTAAGTTCAAATTTCGAGAACGAAATTTTTTAGGAGGGGAGAATGTAATATTTGGAAAAAAAAAAAGCCAACAAGTCAACAAAAGCTACAGTGGACATCTTCTGATTTTTTTAAAAGGGGCCGAGAGTTCTCGAGAAAGAGAAAGGAAAGAGAGGAAAAGAAGAAAAGAAAGAGAGAGGAAAAGAGAAGGAAGAAGAAGAAGAAGAAGAAGAGAAGGAGGGTTTTGCGCCGCGGAACCTCGCCAAGCCGATTCAACTTCGTATCGCAACGCCCGGTAAGCACTTGTGCCCCTCGTTCGTCCGATCGGAGAAGTTTTCCGATTTAGGGCTTAAATTCGGAATTTTGGGAAATTCGAGCCGCGAAGTCCGATTTTGGAGTCGTTGAGCTGCGTATATATATAGAATTGATAGTTTAGGCTTCATGGAGCTGTGCGATTTTACGGATCTTGATTTGGACTTACGGTTTGCCCAATATGAATTTTTTAAGTTGGCCGCACAAGGTGAATAGTGTGCGATCAGGGGATTTTAGGCTGATTTTCATTGGTATCCGGCTCGATTTTGGGACGGCTAAGTTTGGGCTTTTGTAATACTTGGAACGGGCTTTCTTTTGACTATAAGTTTGCTAGGATTGGAGTTCGATGGAGAAAGTTATGGCGCGATCAAGTTTCGCGTTCAATTTTCGCATTGCAGACGATTTGGATAATCGCTTTGGAAGAGCGATTTGTGAGCGCGTTTGAGTCGTTTTAGTTAGCGTCTAAGCTTGGTTTAGTCGAGTCGTTAGTGAAAATGGTGTTTTACTTGGTGTTGACGTCAATTCTCATTTAATTGATAGGTTTACGAGATCGTCGGCGAGTTTAGCCACGTTGTTTAGTTATGGGGCATTCCCAGGTGAGTGGTGTTATCTGTTCTATGAATTTATAAACTCATGTTTTGAAAGTGATAAGAATTTGAGTATCGTACGAGTTACTAAATCATGTTTGTTGCATAAAATTCTGGATCGGGCAATTACTACCCTTTTGATATTTGAGAACGATTTGAGAAATATCTTGTAAAAATGCGTTTGGTTTGACGAACGAAGTTGAGAAAGATTATGTGTTTTATTTTGTGAAATCAGTTGGTGATATTGATTGTGGATTATGAGACCTATTATGGATTTGGTATTGTGGATTATTGAAGGATGTGTGTTGGTGCTCAATATCGCTGTGAGCCCATTGAGGGGCTTATGGGTATGCGCATACTAGTCTAAGATATCCTTATGGGCCGAGCCACCGGTTTATAGTAGGTGGAGACCTTGCCAAGGGGGGAATCTTGGTCGCCTTATCACGAGGCGAGATGCATGATCATAGTTTGATATTGAGCAATAGATTGGTCGATGGAATGGACCATCGACGTGTGATGTGATATGAGATTCATCAATGGAATAGACCATTGACGTGTGTTTTTGACGAGATTGACCAATGGAATGGACTATTGGTTTCTGCTTTGATATTATTGATTTAAAACGAGCATTTTATTGTGAAAATGTTGTGTTAAAATAGTATATAACATATTTTGAATTGACGTTTGAAATATGTTGGAGTTGGGTTACATAAGCTTTGGTTTGGTCGATGGATAGACCATCGATGTGTTTTTTTTTGTTGTGCCAGGGCAAATTCATGAGAGCGATGGCAGTGCGGCTGCGGCTCAAAAAGGATAATATCGGGTCGGGTTGAGGGATGGCAGTACGGCTGCGCCTCTACCCCGAACGAGGCCTTCTATGATTAGATTGGTCAATGGAATAGACCATTGGCGTATGTTTTTTGATGAGATTAGTCAATGGAATGGACCATTGACGTGGTTTTTAATAGAGATTGATCAATGGACTTGACCATTGATGTTTATGATGGTTTAAACGAGTATTTCTTATTTGTATAAAGGCTTATTTCAATAAAACAACTCTTATGTGATTTGATATGTTATATACTGAATTTGGCTTTTAAAGTTTCGATATTGCTTTGTATATATGCATAGTGATTGCTCGATCTGCTTAGAAGAGATACGCACTGCTTACTGAGCTGTGGTTGCTCACCTCTCTCTTTTCCCAATCTTTCAGGTTCCTTGGTTAGTAGCCAATAGAGCGAGAGCGATGTCGTTGGGACTTTTGGGAGTCGGATTCCTTGTGATTTGAGGCTGCGTCCTTCGGGTGGAAGGACGGTCGTGTCACCCCTCATCATGGTAGGTTTTGGGGCGTGACAACTTGAGTGTCATAATTTTTTTTTCTACCATATGCCATAAATATCGTTCACTTGAGTGCTATAACTGTCCATTGATCAATTAAGTGCCATAACTTTCAAAAAATGCTCACCCAAGTGCAGGAAATCCAATGTGGTATGGCACTTGTGGTGAATATATTTAAAAAATTGTGACACTCAACTGATTAATTGAAAAGTTATAGGACACTCGAGTAATTGGAAAAGTATTTTTGGTACTCAAGTGAGCACTATACATAAGTTATGGCATTCAAGTAATCGAAAAAAAAATTATGACGAAAGTTTTGACATTTAAGTCAGCGTCGTATGAAAGTTATGGCACTTCTAGTGTCGAATTCCTCATATATTCGCATATGAAACAATTATGATATATTATTTGATTATTATAGAATGAGATTATTGCATATAATAGACTAGTTAAAAACATTATGATTGAGAAAGTACAGAGGGAAGTGGAAGACACATTCATGAGAAAGAAGGTAAGAGATCCCGTAAAAATAGAAGCATCTTTTTACATCGTGCACTGGAAAGCAAAGCATAATACTTCTAGTTTTATCCAATAAACACCAATAAAATATGAACGTTCAAATAAATAGCTTAAGATGAAACAGTATTCTAACAGTTGATATTACTAATGAATTCTTTTTGTTTGTCGATTAATATGAAATTGGTTTAAATTTACAAAAAATTATATGCATTTTATATTGTTTGATTATAATATATTACCTAAATCAAATTCGAATGAGCAAACTCCCCAATCTATGCAATGCACCAGTCTTTAACTAGCTAGTAAGACAATTGTTACTAGGATTGCAAAATTTAACAGACCTGGGAACTCAACGAACAAGTCAGGAAATGCTAGAGTATAGAAGTGCATCCCATTAAAAGTAACGGACGGCCCTGCATATATAGCGTCTTCTTAAAATGTGTGTGTATATATATTCTCTGGATAATCATCGTATCAGAGCCAAGGGGGTATTTTGATTATCTTAACAAAAGAATTTTAGTGGGATTGTCGAGTTTGGCTGGAACCTATCTTGGGTGAGGTGTGTTTAATCAGTAGTGGTCCAGGCAGTAAATCCTTGAAGGTTAGCGAGTTTAATCATCGTAAGTTTTCCAGATTTATCAAGAGAGACTATCACCAGAAAGAGTAAATTAAATAGGTAACGCAATAATCTTTAGATTACGAAAACTATCATATTGGGCAATTAAACGAAGGGGCTAGAAGATGCTTGAGTATTAAGAAGGCATCCCCACATTAGCAGTAAAACATTGATAAAATTGCTCATATAATTTTTCCCAACCAGATATCACTTGCAAAAGATATCATTCTGGCCATATAAAAACGCCTTGCATTGTGAAACAAACAACCTAGGAATCCATATTTGTTACCAAAAACAAATAAAAAAGACAGTGACTAGATCCACAATTCCTTAATGCACATGATGAGCATTAATCCTGCCAGGATTAAAAAAAACGCCCTAATAAAACCCTAAAAATCCTGAATAAAATGGCTAGAAGTCTTGAGGACATTCTGTCTTCACTCGAAGGTTTAGGCTCCGGTGTCTAGAAGTTCACTAAGTGCTGGCCATTACGGAGCCACTATCGATTGCTCAGTCATGCTAACATTGCTCCATTAGGCTATCACTTCATCGAACTTCTTTTCTGGAAGTAATGGCAACATCCAGAAGGCCTCCTACTAGTTCTTTTAGATGGAACGTCCTCGGGACTTCTTCTAGACATTGGAGCCTATGGCCTTCAAATGAAGAACATCATGTTCTCCACATCAGCATGCAGCTTGCAGAATCGCTCCTCATTCAAACCAAGTGATGAGAACGATGAGGATGCCATCGAGGAGAATGAAGATGCCATCGAACTGGGAGAATGCTCCATCATCGCTTCGTGATACAACCTTCCTCTGTAGGCGGCGAGATCAGCATAGTACACAGGCGTGACCAGAGACACTGGTTTGGTGCATCGAGCAAACATAAAGCATAAGCTGTAAATTAACTTCTCCAAGTGGTCGGAGCTAAACTTGTGCTCGTCCAAGAGGACATGATAGTGGGTTGGCTTGCTCGTCCCAAGGCCGCCATAGTGGCTACACAGATAGAAATCGAATTCAAAAGGATGCACGACTGTTGTGTCCACGACTGTCCCTGGTGGCACGTTGCCTGTGGGACCCCCATCAACGTCTCTCTCTGGGAAAAGACGAGTTTGGTGACGCTTCTGAGCCACGATGATTGTGATGGTTGGCCTGTAATCTTTCCCTGTGAAAGCCTTCTTCAGATCCTGCAGTTCTTCATTCAGAACCATATCGAATTGGCTTTCGCTCACACCATCGCGAAACAATACGAGTTTCCCGGGCCTAACTCGATTCAGATGGGCATATGTCTCGACGAGCTCAAGACACATGTCCCCGATGTTGACAATTTTCTCTTGCCGATGGAGCTGAGGTCGCACCCTCGCAGCATAGCGATTGGCAGCAGGCCAGTTGACGGTACCAACAACGGCAGCAAATGATGGACTGGTCGTGTTACGGGATGTGGGATGGTTGACATCGGCACCAATGAACATCACATGCCCCTCACCGTCAATGTGCGGAAATCGATTGAATAGTTCTACGTTGCTGCCCCCAAGCTTGGCATTGATCTTGAGTGCCAGATTAGCGAGATACTGATCGTTCGCTTTATTGGCGTGCCCGGAAAGGCAACACTGAGTAACTAATCCAACTTGAGTCTCACAAATCCATTTGAGGTGCTTGTAACCGATGTCCCTCCTGGACATAATGCAAAGAAGGAATTGAGGACGCCATCTCCCGACTCTGCAAGCGCGGTCGTTGACATTCTCCAACAGCTCAGTCAATCTTGCCACGTTGGAGAACATGCTCATCGTCGCATCTTGATAAAAGAGCGGTTCTTCCATGCGAATTCCCAAGTTTCTGCATCGGCCAATAAGCTTTTGGATGAACAGCTTACAGTTGAGTCGATTCCGGTCCAACGCGCTGAAATCAATGATGACCCATCTTTCAATCCGCTTCCCATCCACAACCGATTTCCCAATTAGATTCCAATGGCATTTATCTTTATCAACTTCTATCTTGATCATCTTGCCATTCGAAGTCCCCAGCTTCAACTCGGGAGGTTTGATGACCCGTCCCACTACTTTCGTCATGTTCATGTCGACTTTGATTCCAAAGTTTTGGCTGACGTCTCTGCAGCAACGTAAGAAACATTTTAAATAAACAAGACAAAATCAAAGACGAAAAAAGATAGTCATAATAGTCCGGTGCTTACTGTGATATACGTTCATACCTTCTTTGTCAATCAAACGCTATGTGTATCCTAAAGTATATGCCTTTTTATGCAACCATTTCATCGAAAAAGAAAATAGAATCCACAATTATGTGTTGTATAGGTGACTATAAAACAGCACCAGTATTACCAAGGAAAAAATAACGAGCATGCACAAATTATAAATTGACTACAGTACAAAAGGATGATGAACGCCTCATGTGCATAACCACATTAATTGTTGTGATCCGCAGGCCAAGTGTGGACAGAAGCAATGATGGGGATCCACAATTACAGCAAAGAACAAGTGTGTTAGAATTATGATAATAAGGGTAGAATTGTAATATTGTGTTTAGAGGGGTTTACGTTATGTTAAGTATATATATATTGTAATCCCTCATTAAAACATAATAAGAAACATCTTTATCCTCTCAAACATGGTATCAGAGCTGGTTGAGAAATCCTAATTTACCGCCATTGGCGGAACCCTAACTCTCCGGCAAACCTAGACTCTCCGGCGAACCCAGACCGGCGACTCAGTCCGGCGAACCCAGACCGGCGACTCAGTCCGGCGAACCCAGTCCGGCGACTTAGTCTGGTGAACCCAGATCTGGTGGCTCACACTCAGTCTGGCGAACCCAGATCGACGACTCCCATCAAGTCTTGTCGCTTCTGTTGGTGACTTCCCAGATCTACTTCTGTTGACAACTTCCCAGATCGCGGAACCCAGGTCAGCGATCTTGCTTGCATAGAGACCCGGCGGTCTCGCTCTCTTGCGCCGGCGGTCTCGCTCTCTTGCGCCGATCTTTGTCGGCCCCATTGAAGGTTCAGCTGAGCACTAACATGCTCTGCTCTTCGAGCCCAGTTGAAGCCGCCACTGTTCGTTTTTTGTTCGCACGACGAAGGTGAACAGCAACTTTTTCCAAAATAAAAAATATCGAAAAAAAAAAATTTATGTTGCTCAGTGCAGCGACGATCACTGCCCAGTGGATGCAGTAGTTTCAAGTGGTAATTCTTCGATTTTGACTTGATGGATATATGAATTTTCCATAAGTCATTGTGACTAGTTTTGATCCGGTTGAACCATCAAAGCGGTGATTATATTTGGCTGGCTGTGTTGTTGGAGACTCTGGTGATTATATTTGGCTGGCTGTGTTGTTGGAGACTCTGTTGTTCAGGTTGACTACTTGTTTTCTTACGAAATTATTTGTGGGTTCAATCGTATCTTCCAATTACTGATGGCTGCTGTTGCTGGAACTTCTGCTAGTTTGCCACATTTACAATTGACTTCTGTTGAAGTTTATCTTACTGCTACCAAACAACGCGATTATCTTACGTCTACGGCCCCATCAGATCAAAGTAAGGTAGCTGATTGGATTGCTGGTGATGCATTGATTCGTACATTGTTATGGAATAGTATGGATTCCAAAATTAGTCCCCATTTTATTTAGTGTACTGCTAAGGAGATTCGGGATAAATGTGCTTTACTATATTCTGGCCAAAATAACATGACACGGGTTTGTGATACATGGGAGGCACTATTTGACCTTAAGCGTGGAGATCAGTCATTGACTAAATATTATGCTCGTTTCACGACACTATGTCGACAGCTGGATACTTATCTTCCCGCTTCAGATGATGCAGCCACTCTTGTCAAGAGACAAGAGGATCTTCGGGTTATTCTGTTTCTAAAGGCGTTGGGACCTGAATATTCTTCACTACGTCAACAAATTACTTCTCAGAGCTCTCTTCCTTCAGTGGATGAGATTTTCTCTCAAGCTCTTCGTTCGACACCTACTGAGAAGATCTTCGCCACAACTTTGGAGACAAGTGCTATGGTTTCTCATAGCACTAGCGGACGTGGAACCCGGGGTCGTGGTTATAGGGGTCGTGGACGAGGTTTTGTTCCGATTGGTGGTCGTGGTGGTCGTGATGGTGGTATTGGTGGTCGTGGCTCTTGCTATTGCAACCATTGTCAGAAAAATGGACATACCGAGGCTTATTGCTATACTCTTCATTCTGAGCTTCGACCTACTGTTGCTGCCTATGTTGATTCTCCGGCATTGACTTCATCAGAACCTCCTATTGCGCATGGTATATAGGTGATACTGTTACACTGTCACGAACTGAGTATGTTACGTGGCTTCGTTCTCAACAGGTGACAGGCTCTTCAGCTCCTACTGCAACTTTAGCACAGACCACCAAAGGTAGTTCATCTTGTTTACTGTCTACACTATCTGACTCTTGGGTTATAGACTCTGGAGCCACTCATCATATATCTGGTAACCATAAGCTACTGTCTTACTTTCAGTCCATATCTTCTGAAGTGTCTAATTCTGTTACATTAGCTGATGGTTCACAATCTCATGTTTCTGGTACTGGAGTTGCTCGTTTAAGTCCTTCTCTCTCACTGTCTTCTGTCTTACACCTCAAATCTCCCTATAATTTGATTTCTGTTAGTTCATTGACTAAGGAACTGAACTGTTCAGTCACCTTTTCTTCGTCTCGTTGTGTTTTTCAGGATCTGAGGACTGGACAGATGATTGGTGGGGGACATGAATCAAATGGCCTGTACTATCTTGACAAGGAAATAATGGCTGCTGCAGCTGTGAAGCGCACATTCTCTGATGTGTATCGAATGCATTGTCGTGCTGGTCATCCACCACCGAACATTCTTCGACGTTTATTTCCTAAGTCTGAGTCTGTGAGTACTTTTCAATGTGAAGCTTGTTAGTTTGGTAAACATTATAGGACTTCTTTTCCTTCTCGTTTTCAGAGTCGTGTGTCTAGTCCATTTGAGTTAGTTCACTCAGATGTTTGGGGTCCGTGTCGTGTTTCTAATACTTCTGGTTTTAGATACTTTGTTACATTCGTGGATGATTTTTCTCGAATGACATGGTTATTCTTAATAAAAGATCGTACTGAGATTTTTTATTGCTTTCGCCTATTTTACTTTGAAGTATTGAATCAGTATAATGCATCTATTAAAACTTTACGATCAGATAATGCTAAAGAATATCTTGCCTCCTCTACTGGTTTTCGATCCTTTCTTGAATCTCATGGTATTCTTCATCAAACATCGTGTTCGTACACTCCACAGCAAAATGGTGTAGCCGAACGCAAAAATCGTCATCTTCTTGATGTTGCTCGTTGTCTTATGTTTCATATGCATCTTCCTAAACATTTTTGGGGCCATGCTGTACTTACAGCATGTTACTTGATTAATCGGCTTCCAACCTCTGTTCTTCAGGGGGAGACACCATTTTCTGTTTTACATCTAAACCTTCCTCCCTTTGCATTACCTTTACGTGTCTTCGGTTGCATTTGCTTTGTTCATCGTCTTTCTCCGGGTCTTGATAAATTAGATTCTCGTGCCGAGAAATGTGTCTTTGTAGGGTATTCTCGAACTAAAAAGGGCTATAAATGCTATAGTCCTACTCGTCGTCGTCTGTTTGTGTCAGCTGATGTGACTTTCTTTGAGGATCAAGCCTATTATGATACTCAATCAAATCCTACGGTGACTACTGAAGGTGGCGAGTGTGTCCTCCCAGCACTTCCTCCACTCTCTGTACCTCCAGCACCATCAACAGGATTTCAATTTGCCGAGCACACATATCATAGACGTGCTGCAGCTCCTCCCACGGTAGTACCGGTCCCACAAACATCTGATTCATCTGTCCCTTCATCAGTTGCGACACCATCCTCTGATCCTGATCCACCCATTGCTCTTCGGAAAGGTACACGTTCTTGTGTTGGTCGTCCTGTAGATCGCTATGCTCACTTTTCTAACCTTTCTTCTTGTCTTCGTACTCATCATCCCATATCCAATTTCTTATCATATGCTCGTTTGTCTCCTACCTTTTCGACCTTTGTCTCGTCCTTGTCCACTATTTCTGTGCCCAGTAATGTTGCTGAAGCTCTTGCTCATCCTGGATGGCGACAAGCCATGGAAGATGAAATGAAGGCTCTTCTTGAGAATCGTACTTGGCAGCTCACATCATTACCTACAGGCAAACAACCTGTTGGTTGTCGTTGGGTTTTCACTGTTAAGGTTCATCCTGATGGTTCTCTCGATCGATTGAAAGCTCGGTTAGTTGCCAAAGGATATACTCAGACATATGGTATTGATTATGATGATACTTTCTCACCTGTCGCCAAAATTCCATCTGTTCGTGTTCTTATTTCCCTAGCCGCACACTTTGGTTGGCATCTTCATCAATTGGATGTCAAAAATGCCTTCTTACATGGTGATTTGGCTGAAGAAGTCTATATGGAGCAACCACCTGGGTTTGTTGCTCAGGGGGAGAATCTGGTATGTCGTTTACGTAAGGCCTTATATGGACTTAAACAGTCTCCTCGTGCTTGGTTTGGTAATTCACTGATGCAGTTATCAAGTTTGGGTTAAAACGATGTCAAGTAGATCATTCAGTGTTTAGTTCTGTTTCCTCAACTGGTTGTGTTCTTCTGGTGGTATATGTCGATGATATTATTATCACTGGTAGTGATTCGGTTGGTATCCAACAACTTAAGCAGTTTTTGCATACAAAATTTAATACTAAAGATCTGGGACGTCTACGATATTTTCTTGGAATTGAAGTTGCCTACTCACAGGCATGCATCAATTTATCACAACGAAAATATGTGATTGATATTCTTAATGAGGTCGGATTTCTTGGAGCAAAATCAGTTGATACACCTATAGAACCTAATGTGAAACTTGATGCAGAAAATGGAGATCTGTTACATGATCCAGTGAAATATCGAAGATTCATGGGTAAGTTGAATTACCTTACTGTTACAAGGCCTGATATATCCTTTGCTGTGAGTGTAGTGAGTCAGTTTATGAGTTCCCCTCGTACTACTCACTGGAATGCTGTACTGCGAATTATTAAGTACTTGAAAGGAACACCAGGTAAAGGACTACTTTTCAAGAATTATGGTCATCTGAAAACTACAGGATTCTCTGACGCAGACTGGGCTGGATGTCCTACTGATAGGAGATCTACATCAGGGTATTGCATATTTCTTGGAGGTAATTTAGTTTCCTGGAAAAGTAAGAAACAACATGTGGTTTCCCGGTCGAGTGCTGAAGCAGAATATAGAGCTATGGCACATGTGACAGGTGAATTGATCTGGTTGAGGATGTTATTGTCAGAAATTGGTGTGTCAACATCAGATCCATCAACATTATATTGTGATAATCAATCAGCCATCCATATTGTGAACAATCCTGTCTTCCATGAGCGAACCAAACATATTGAGGTTGATTGTCACTTTATACGAGGGAAGGTCCAGAAGGGGGAGATCATTCTTCAACATGCAAGGACAGAGGATCAACTGGCAGATATTTTTACAAAATCCTTACGAGGGAATAGAGTGGATTTTTTATGTAACAAGTTGGGACTACTTGATATCTATGTCCCAACTTGAGGGGGAGTGTTAGAATTATGATAATAAGGGTAGAATTGTAATATTATGTTAGAGGGGTTTACGTTATGTTAAGTATATATATATTGTAATCCCTCATTAAAACATAATAAGAAACATCTTTATCCTCTCAAACAAAGTGTAACATACCCGCAAGGTCCGTTGTTTGACCTTATCATGTCGCAAATGGACTTCTTTCTGATATGTGGGGGAGGCAAGGAAAGTTTCTTCAGCACGAAAGCGGCGTCTCTATCCAAGTTCTCCTTTGGGTAACTCTGCCCCTCGACCAACACACAGAACTCCATTGGCACATAGTTTTTCTTGTTGTTCTTGCTAAAATCCAAGCAAGGAATGTCCTTGTACTTGATCTCAATTTTGTACTTCTCCGAGAAGTAGTTCACCAAGTTGATCTTCTTCATCTTGCCCTCAGAGCTCTTGCAGTTGAAAGATATCGAGCGTGTGGTCTCTTTGGTCAGCCTCACGAACGTATAGTTCTGCTTGGTCTTGCGGTGGGTCATTGTGACCTTCACCCCCTTCAAGGCCTGCTCGACTTCCCTCCTGTATCTTGCAAACTGGCCGATGTTGAATCCACGTATGTGCTCCTTGAGGAAATCGATGACCAACATCCTCTTTCGAAAGGCAATGACCGAGTAATCAAGAGACAACGCGAGGCCTTGGGAGGTTGGCTTCAAGCTGTGTTGGAATCCCCTGAACGCCGCGATGCCACACTTGAGGTCGTCTGCCTCATGATACTCAAGGGGATAGAAGTGTCGGCCAACTGAGATCATATGCCTCGCAGGGTTCTCCTTCATCACCAGATCCATGCCTTGCAATATGTCGCGTGGGATTGACAGCAAGTTCCCAGCCAAGTAGTCCTTCAACTTACGAAGCTTGAGCTCGTTCACGAGCGTGATAGTGCATTGAAACGAAGACTCCTCATTGTATTCTGTGGACAATATCTTCACGTTGTACATCCCGCAAGGTAGCAAGATCGCACTAAATATGTTCTTCTCACCATCATAAGCAGTCATAGATAGAGGAAACTGCATACGATTGTCGGAGAATAACTTCTCCTTGATCTGAGATAAAGTGGCTTTTGATAGCCTCACAGGATGACCGCGCCTCGCAGGCGCCTCAGGCTTGATGTCAACATCATAGTGCCTTATGATGATTTCAGGATTGAAGGTGATAGGAAAATTGTTTACAAGAATCCTAACGTGCCTAGCAGCCAAAGAGCCACCTTTGTCGGGGCGTCTGACGGGGCAAATCTTATCTCCATTTCCTCGGGAAACCAGATTAAACTCCGGCTGGACAGAAACAGCCCGAAGATCTGTCAAGAGAACACAAACCACATCAATTGATGGTACGCATTAGCTTCAGTCACTTTGTTAGAGGTACCCTATGTGTGGTTCACTTATAATTTGTGTATACCTTTTTTAAATTTTTTATTATTTATGGTTGTAAAACTGATGAAATGCAAACATAAAATAACAGCAACTATGCACCATTTTGCAGATTATTATCCTGAAAGAAAAGGATGAAACTCATGACTTTGTTTTTATGACGTCTGAATGTTTAACTATTAAAACCCCAGCAATTTAAATGCATCAATTATGCACCTGACCAGGATAAAAACTAAACTCAGTATCGTATGTGTTGAAACATTATAAGTGATATGTGAATTGAATGGAAAATGACATGATTCATATGCACAGAAAAATGCAGAAAGAAAGCATTTCCGATCTCTGAAAATGCGATCAAAAGATCCTGAGTTTCAGGCCATTTGGAACACTTCTCTTTCCAAAGAAAATCAATCAATATTCAATCAGGTATGGCACCGCGAAGGCAACGTAGATGAGGCAAATTATACGTACCAGCTATAGGCTCGGGCTCTGGATACAGTGAGGCATCATATCCAGGATGACGAGCGTCCTTATCAATTGGTGACCGACTCCTAACTCTCCGATGAGATTCTCGGGAAGTGTTCCTTTCCCCACCACGACCACCCCTTGCACGTCGGTGGTCTCGTTCACAATCGGGATGGCCATGACGATGATCCCTATTCTGGTTTCTCTCTTCCCTCTCGTGATACCTATCAGGTTCTCTCCACCGGTTTCCATGTCTGTCCATGACGTCTCTCTTTTCGGGTCAGGAACAGTTAAACGATTTACGGACGTAATGCTTTTACGACCAGAGAGAAACGAATGTACACCGGAGCGAAAATAGAGAGAGATGAAGAAAGGGGAGTAGATGTACAACAAGAAAGGTCAAACCGGTACGAAAGAGAGAGGTCTCGGATGCTAGGAATTTATAGCGGCGGGGCAAGCGAGAGAGATTAAGCGGCTTTAGGGAAAGGGCCAAGACAATTACGGAAGAATCGATGAGTGTCTTGGCGTGCTTTGTTACTGAAAAATAAAACTAAAGACAACATAAATTAGTGTCCGTTGCTAAGAAGATCAGTTAATCAGATCTCAACATTCTTGACGGGTTTGCCCCGTCCTTTTTTTTTTCTTTTTTTTGTTGCCTACGACGCGCTTTGTGTCGCGACCAATATAAGATATCCTGTTAAATTCTCACCTGAAAAGTAGAAATGGAAGCTAACGCCAAACATGGAACTGTTGTTATTACGTTGTCTATTAGTAGATTGTCCCACTGTGGTGGATTGACATGCATGAACCAGTAGTATATTCAGCAGATCTACCGGGGCAAGTACATGTTATAATTATATTATCTATAATGTGATTACACATTTAGTTTATTATTGCTTACATTAATTAATTTCGTCAATGTTTATTGAGCGCATTCAAATACATGATAACTATGATAGCCTAATATTAAGATAACTATCTTGATGGGAGAAGTTATCTATAAAGGTATGAATTGGGATATAAATAGGTTATATAAGCCAAACCCTCTCATAATCTTAAGATCGATCCCTCATTCATTGATTTGAGATATCGGAAAACACACCATCGACGTTGAGAGGGCAATTGGCTAGAAGCATCTACTGACAATCGTCAAAACTCCACGTATCAGATTCTCAATTTCATCAATGGCTAGAGGTTAGTACATATTTTTCGACGTTTCCGCATTCGATTCTGATTATGCATGGTTATTGTTTATACATGAATAATCAGAATCTTCAATCTTTCACTATAGTTAAATTTCTAACAGTACATCTATTGGAGATATCTACCTTGAGGCACAAAAGATTGGAAAGAAAGATCGAGGACAAAAGACAATAGAGAGAGCGAGAGAGAGATATGGGATGAACCTACCAAACAGAGATGAACTGGGGATGTCTGATTAAAGAACGTACCAAGGATGGACGTGTTCTTTGGATTTTCTTTCCTTCCTTTCGGGAAGATTTCTTGCCTTCTAAAGTCAAGCCTTGTTTGGTTGACAGGAACAGGAAAATTGGATATAAAACAGAAGAGAATCCGAATGAAATGATGAGATTAGAAGGCTAATTAATCTCCAATTCGCAGTATTTAGTAAAGCCTCGAAATAGAATGTAAGATCTGCAATATGATTGCAAGTTACTATAAATCTAAGTCATGGATAAACTTGCAGAATATAAAATTACCATATCGAATTTTCTTCCTTATAAAATGATGCATGGAGGAAGCGTTGGTTATTGGTTTGTTTATGGAGTTGTCGTTTATTGTTAGATTTGATTCATCCATTCTTATCCATTGCACTTATTTTCATGACTTTTTTCCCCCAAAACAGGTCCTCCTTGAGATGTTATTCCCAAAAGATCTCTCCTAAATCTATTTCCCAAACTAGACTTCTCAGCATCAAATGATCCTTAAGAAAACCTAGTTTCCACCCTTACTTCCTAGTCATACATACCTCTCTCCTAAAGTTATTAAAATAACTTCTAACATTTTCCATAGTCTTAATTATTGTAATTTAATCTAAGTAACTAAATAAAATCGAAAAATATGTTGCACCCAATCAATAATTAATTTCTAATATATTGATTTGTTTTTTTTTTTGGTCAAATTTATTGATTTGTTAATCCAAAAATTTAATCTCTCCTCTCATTGAGTTTGCATTAAAAATTAAAAAAAAAACAAGTGAAATGCATTTTCAAGCCTTTGTTGAATGCTTTATGACATAAATTCATTTAATCTAAAATTATATCGAAATAGCATATCTTATTAATGAATGAAATTTTGCAATTATAAGTGTGAAATTCTGTCCTTATTACTTTTAAACATATAAATGGATAACAACAAAATTATACAACGAGTTATTTCCTTATTATGTTTATATCTGTAGATCAAAAGAAACCAAATATATTGAAACCATGTCCACACCATTTTCACTAAAGATATAAATTTACCCTCAACAGTCAATTGCAATTTTAAATAATGACCCCAAATTTATATGCTTTCCTTCTTTTTTTAATGTTTTTAAATTTCTATTTAGGATCTGATTGCCAAGAAACCTACTTCTTTACTACGTTGTCAAGTAAATTTTTTGATTAATTATGAAATGAAGATGTAGAAAATTCTAACATTAACAACTTTTAACACGGTCACATGTTATTTTTGTTGGGCATATCACCATCAAACTCTTTTTTTATCAGTTGTCTTTAAATACACATAAACTAGGATGGTTGGATGAAAAGAAAAACCTCTTTAAAGATTTTACAAAACAAAACCACAATTACATTCCCCAACGAGAAACTTTAAAAGATGAAATTTAACTTAAATCGAAGCTTTACAATTAATAAGTTTTTTATGTTTTAAGTTTCAATGAAAATTTTCATTCAATTTTAAATTGAGAAAAATTCATATCATTTGTGAAGTGTTTACGAAAAATATATCAAGATGCCTCAATATGCATAGCTTTTTCACTTCATTGTTTTTATTGTATTACTGGATACTCTTGCATGCTATTAATAAAAGTTTCCCACCAATAGAAAGGAAAAAAAATATTAATTCTTTGATATCGTAAATGAAGAGACTAGGTTTTATTTCATACTAATAAAATTTAGAAAACAAAAAAATTCACTAAGAAAGTGAACGTTCGACATAAAAAGGACGAAGAATAGATACACTATTACGAGGGCAATGAGAAAAAAGAGACTACTTTTTATTTTCTAAATAGCAATACATTTGAATTTGATGGAAAAACATAAGAGGCAAATACAAAAATTGTGCAAAAATGGAAACCATTAAGGCCGATTTGTCTATTAAGTAAAAAAGGAGAGGAATCACACAAAAGACCCACCCTAAATTTATATGAATATATTTGGTCGATAGTTAAAGTAGAATTTAAAATTTAAGTCACTAATATTATACCTTTTCAATGAAATAAAATTTTAATTTAACTATTACGTTTTCATTCAGAAAAGGAGTTGATAACAAGCTGATAATGAAAATTTATCAAAGAAGTTAATCGTGGAATTCACGAAAAGTTAATATTGTAGATATATCAAGAAAAAAAGTCTTACCGTTGTTTATCTTCATAAATTATCATCATTATTGTCTTTGTTAGTGAATACTTCTTTCTTGATAAACTTTCAATATTAATTTTTTTTTGTTGAATACAAATAATGTCATGCTTAGAATAATAAAAAGTTTTAAATTCAATTTCAACTAGCTATAAAATGAATTCATACAAATTTACTTTCAACACATTTTTGTTCTTTCCATTATAAATTCAAACGTAAATAATGAAATAGTTCAGCCCTCCAAAGTGTAAAACTAAATATAAAGTAGTTTACTCTTTTCACTTTATATATTAGTTTATTTTTTAAATTAAATGAATTTAATTTATAGTATTTTTGTAGTGAGCGATGAGGACTGCAAAATATCTCAAAGGAGGTTTAGAAGATGAAAAAGAAATCACAAGTCTCGATTGCTCGAGGCAAGGCAGAAATGAATAATGGCGAAGTAGTTAAGATCAAGTCAACGATCGATGATGGATCCAGTAAGTCAGGCGATGAACACGTGGAGATCGATTCGATACATGAGAAATTTGAGAGGTGCGTACGCGATCAAATTGGATCTAGTTAGTTTGCTTGTTTTTTTTTTTTTGTTCAAATTTGTGCCAAATTAAATAGGTTTATTTAAATTAACTTTTTAAAGTTATATTACTTTTAATTATTTTATTTTGTAAAGCAGAATAAAGTTACTTAAGGTATAGGTAGGTCATACTAAAACTAGGATACACTTTTTTCTGTATTTTGTTGTTAATTTAATGGTAATTTTTCAATTACATGAATTTATTTTTAATAGCAATCTTAGTGAATGAAAAATATTATAGCTAGTATTTCATTTAATAATGGGATACATCATTAATGGTTTAATTTTCAATAGAACTTTAACGATCTTTTAACTTGTGGGGCATAAAAGTTACACAAAATGTCAACAATTATTTCAAATGAATGAAGAGGAAGATGTAAAAGTGCATGACTATTGTCAGAGAGGTAATAACCGGTCAAATTCAGGAATATTGACAACGCAAATCTAGTCTTGATAAATAATTGGGAAAATGACAAATAGTCCTTGAATTTTGTTCTAATATGTAATGTGGTCCATGAACTTTATCTCAATATACATTATCCTCTCTAAACCTTTAAATTATTCAATGTGACCCTTGAACTTTTGACACACGTTTCAATTTAATTTGTGTAGCAAATGTTGTCCCGAAATTTAAATTAATGAAAAGATAATATTGAACATTTTCGTATAATTCATAAACTAAATTGAATATATATTAAAAATTTAAATATCATATTAAATAAATTAAAGGTTCACCCTTGAATTTTTTATACACGTTTCAATTTAATTTGTGTAGCAAATGTTGTTTAAATTAATGAAAAGATAATATTGAATATTTTCGTATAATTCATAGACTAAATTGAATATATATTAAAAATTTAAATATCATATTAAATAAATTAAAGGTTCCCTCAAGGACCATGCACTTGGGAAGGAGTGCAGGACGAGAGAAGGGAGGGAAGGTGGGAGGCGTGAGGAGTAAGGCTGCGCCGCGGAGAGGGTGGGAGTGAAAAGCGCCGGGAGAAGGGAGGAGGAGGTGAGGGTGGGTGGGGGGTGGGGGGAGTGGGGCGGGGGGCGTGGGTGCTGCATCTTTGCAGGAGTGCAGGGTTTTTTCTTGCCGCGTGCATTTTTTTTTTTTTGGCCCTGGACCCGGATTCCGGGCCGGTTCCCAATTTCTGGAACCAGGCCCCGTAGGCCACGGGCCGGTTCCGGTTCCGAACCGCGGGCCCGGTCAATGGTCCGGGCCGGGTTTGACCGGACCAAAACCGGCCCGTGGCCATGACTACTTGGGAAGGAAAAAAATAAATACTACTATCGCGCGGCAAAACTAAAAAGCAAAGTTCTCTCTCCGTTGGAGTTCTTCGTAGGGTTTGCAAGGTGCAGTGGCCTCCTTCCTTCGTCTCTGCCTCCACAACAGGTAATCTCTCTCTCTCTCTCTCTCTCTCTCTCTCTCTCTCTCCGGTGAATCCAAAGCTAAGTGACCCACTTCGACCGATGCGTAATTTGAATTCAGACCGTGGCCTACCTTTCTTGTTCCTTTGTTCGGGTGATGGGGGTTGAGCGCACACATACACAGGCACAGAGCGTTCTCTGCTAACAAGTTGTGAAAGACTATGTTGAGGGTCATCAGCTGGTGGGTGTTTGAGAGTGGTGGGTATTAGGGTTATTGTGAGTTGTAAATCGATCACGCTTTTTGGTTGGAACACATACTTGTTTTGTTTCGAATCTTGTGGAACTCTGCTTGGCAGAGAATTCATGGTTGGATGCTGTCATGTGCCCTAACTGCTTATAAATTTGTGCATGACAAGGTTTAATGATGTCGGGGACCGAAGGTCATACAAAAAGCCGGGTAAATTTGAGGGGACTGGTCTGATTATGTTTCGCAAGTCGTCGCCTTTGACTTCTAATAGTGATGTGATTTGTAAAATCATTATGGTTATAGAGAACACGAATTCTTATGGAAGTTTTCGTTCAAAGTTCGAGGTCGGGGTTGCTTTATGTAAGCGGACATAGATACCTCATTGAATTTTTCTACGCGTGGTATTGTTAGTTATGCAGGAAATTTAGAGGACCCTCAGAAGAATTTAGCGTACTGGTGGGGATCTGCCTCTAATTAATTAAGCCCTTTTGATAACATTGTCATGAATTGCATTTAAGTCCTCCATTTGCTGCGAGGACTCCCATTGTCATTAGCATCTGGAATTAAAAAAGTCTGTACATTCCAATATCAAAGGTCTGGCAATCATTCTCCTCCGTAGGTAATGTTACTTTTCTACAAAGCATAATGTCAGCTGTGACATTTCCAAGTTCCCACAATCATGTCATTAGCCCTTGGTCAGATTGTAGTTTTTGAACAAATATCAAGTCTGTAGAATTAAGTTGGTGAGTTTGGGCTTTTGGCAGAATGAATTAGGACTCTAGCCAGGATGTCATGCCAATTGTGCTTCACTAAAAGGCAATAAGTGCACTCAACATTCTTGAGTAGAATTTTTAGTAGTTGTTTGTGCAGAACCCTTAGGTAGTTGAACTGATATATTTGGTATTGGCTAAACAGCCCTGGATTTTCAAGTCAGGCTTTGTTCAAACTGTTGAAGCTAATTTACACAAAGACTACAGTGGTTCCTTCCTGCCAAAAATGATTATGAATATTAGTAAATAAGAGAAGATATCATGTTAGAATGTGCACATGGGCGCAAGAGGCTGGCTGTGTTCCTGAATGTTTACAGGTTCGTGACAAAGTATGTGGGCATGTGTGCACAATTGTGTGGTACTGCTTTGCCTTGAGCCACAAAGTATATATTGGGTTGATCGAAAGCCATTTGTTTCTTTTTATGCAATTACGTTGCTCTCTTTGGGAACTGCATTGTTAGTCTGGATGTGGCATTGTCCCCAAAATAAAGTGGTGTCAGATCGTGCTTTTGAAGATGTTGCAATATTTTTGCTTTCTGCTATGCAGAGTGGCATCAGTGAGAGTTGAAGTCCAGTAATTGAAGAATTGTTGACTAGTGAGATCTAGATATGGTTGATATCCTCTGTGATGGTAGTATGTGAAACTCATTCACCTCATGTTTGGAATAGGTGTGTGCATGTGTGACCAAAGTTTCTGTACTGTAGACAGACACTTCAGGCTATACTCTTGTGGCATAGTTCTTAGACCCCATTTAGTTCATTGCAGAATTGGGTTTATTAAGGAATGGGATCCGATTCTTATTTTTTTCCAAGTTTCAAGAGAAATCAAAACATAGAATCGTATTCCACATGGAATAGGATTTCTCAAAAACGCTGCTGCCGGTTGTCAGTCACTGGCTGCCGCTGCAGCCAATTGCTGGTCATTGGTTGTCTGTCACCAGCAGCTGGTCATCGGTCGCCGACCACCGCCTCTCACCTCTGCTCATCGCTGCCACCTTGCCACCACCACTGGTTCTCTTTCAAGGGGCCAAAACTTTTGGCAATCTCAATAATTGAAAATGGATAATGAGGTTCCTTGGAATGGAAGTGCTTGTCATGGAACCAAACAAGGCCTTCCTCCTTTTCCTTTGGCCAGAAGGTCGTTAGTTCTCTTGGTTGTACGGGTTTGGTTTTTCATCTTTTCCCTCTGGCCCTGAATTTTTTGCAGTTCGGAATAGGTCATGTTTGATTCTTTCAGATGGGATTCTTAATTGTGATGGTTGGATGATCAGTTTTCAGCTCTCTGGTGTGCGCATAGATAATGTAAACTAACACGAGATCTTTTGTTTTGATGCAGTAAAGGAAAAGAGGCTTATTGGCTCCTATGGTGTTAAGGATCATTGACCTTTTAGGGCAACCTTGCCATGAAACCAAAGTCGAAGAAACAGGAACATCGCTCGCTTGTAGCATCTAATCAGACAGAGTTCGCATCCTCAATAACCAAAATTGCAGTCTCTCAAATCTGCAAATCAGTAGGTTTCAAGGCTGCCCAACTCTATACGCTAGATATTCTTACAGATGTTGCCATAAGATACCTCCAATCAATTGCCAAATCCGCTGCAGCATATGCAAATGCTTCAAGTCGCACTCAGTCAAATTTGTTTGACCTTATTAATGCCCTCAACGACATCAACTCTGTATCTGGTTTCCATGGTGCTGCTTCTCTTCACAAGAACAGCGTAGCTGTGCTTGCGTCTGGTGTCTTGTGTGATCTCAACAACTTTGTAAAGAACTCGTGCGAAATCCCCTTTGCCAAACCTGTTCCCAAAGGAGGTGCGGTTGATTTGCCTTTACCTGTGATGCATTCTAGTGGTGGTACAAACTTCTCGAGCATTTCTCGGGGCCTGCACATACCAAGATGGCTCCCACCCTTTCCTGATATGGCTACTTTTGTAGAGAATCTTGAGATTTCATTTAGTCAAAGAAACCATGGTGAGCAGTTATGGGGAAGTATGTTATCATTGGAAAATCATGAGTCTAATGAGCCGATATTGGAGAATAAGAGGCCATCATCAAGGGGGCTGGAGGAACGGCGTGGGAAGGTGAAGTTCACCGTTGGAAAGGGAAGAAGAGCTGGAAATGGAATGGAAGGGGGTTTGAGGAAGGTGATTTGCGGCGGTGAGAAGAGGGTATATTGTAGGATCAGAAGTGACAATGATGAAATTGTTGAAACAGATGATGGTGATGGCATCAAGAGAAGGAAGACTTGCAAGTTTTAAAGGTTTGTAACGATGAAAATTCATCGCTATCGGCATGCTATGCCCAATTTTGGCCATTCTTTTGCTCTGAAAGTTTGAATACTCTCAGAGAGATTCTGGATGTAAAGTGAACGTTGTACTCATCTCTTAAATGCTCATGTTATGTCCTCTTTTTGCTCCTTGGATGGAATCAAGACAGGATGAAGCTATAAAGTGGAGTTGCATTGCATGTGCTCATCTAGATAGATTCTAGAGCTTGGCCAAAAAAGAGAAACAGCTTCTTACTGGTGCATCTGTTCCTCAAAAGTGGAGATTTTTTTTTATGGATTTCTTTTTACTAAATGTACGCTTTTTGTGGGAAAAAAAAAACAGTTTTGATGCACTCTTTTAATTGTGAATCTAAGGGTGTGTTTGTTTTTATGAAAATGATTTTCATGATATGATTTTCCAAACTTTTGCTGAAGGTGAATAAGTAATGGAAAATATTTTATGGTGAAGGAAAATAACTTTACTTAAAATAGAGGAAAATAGTTTCTCCATCTTAAAAAAAACGAAATTATTTTCTAAAACTCTTTTTCTTACTCACGCACGGCTTCAATTTACGTAGTATTCTCTCGCTCCCTACTAGTCTTCACTCCTCTTCCGTACATTCTGTATCTCCTCTTCATAGCAAATCCACAAGCTATTTCATCTTCTTTTCAAATCGATCCCTACCATTAGCTTCAATCACATATAAGCGCTTAATTAATCGTAGGTCTGTTGTGACCAAATCACCATTTGGTCATATGATTTTCCACTCCGCTATGTGACTCTTATTTTGTGGAGGATAATATGAAAGGTGTTTATGAAAGGCTCCGCCCCTTTTACTATAGACACATCTACTACTTTGGATTGACCACATTATCCCTTGCAAGTCCCAATTTATTATGCTTTTGGAACTTAAAATTTTTTAATTATGTTCTACCCATACAATGAAGACAATGGTCAAATTTGAGACCCACTCTTGACTTAAAAAATAGTTTACTCGGCAAATAGCTAACAAATGATTATGTTAATGAGTTGAATATTTATTTTTTGATGTATTTTACTAGGAAACAATTATTCTAAAAATAAACCAAGTGCGTGTAATCGAGCCAAAGATAATATTCCATGTAATAACGTTTTGAGCGGTGTCTTTACTTGAGTTTGCATGATAATAATGAATGTTTATAAATTTTTATGTACTTAATTCTGTCATTTTTTTTTCAAAATCATGTAGTTATCACATAAAAATAAATAAAAATTGAACTAACCGAATAAAATGAAAGTTAAGTGGTTAAAATACACTAAGAGATTAAGTTTGTTAATTGTTCGTTTTTTTTTTTTTTTTTGCATTCTTTTTTAGGTTGCTTTATTTTGATAAAAAGAAAAAAGAAAACTTAAAATTCATACTTCATATAGTAGTAGATCTTAAATAAGGATTTTGATATCATCTTAGTATCTTAAACTATAACTATAACGAAGAGAATGATATTTGAAGATAAGATCTAAACATCAAAAAGTTTTTTTTATCTTACTTTCAAGTCCACAGCCAAATTACTGAAAACCAACTATTTTTCTCAAAAATAATCTATACGAAAAATATTTTCTTACATTAAGAAACTTTCCCTGAAACAAATACATCATAAACTGTGTTTGAGAAATTGTAGTTGGATTGGTGCTACCACACCAAACTTTTGGTCAAATATGAGAATACTAAAAAATTTCCAACACTTTTCTATAGTTTAAAGTGTTTAGTTTTTTATTTCATGCTGTTTTACTTTTCAAGCTTAAGGAAGCCCTGGCAAGATATGACAGGAAGATTGGAGCAGATAATATTTTGTGCGCACCTTCGGCCTTTCGCATCCACCCCTTAATTTCCTAAGTCATGAAGCCAAGGACTAAAGATTTTAGCAACGCTTACACTAGAATTGGGAAAACTATCCAAAAATTTCTAAACCTATTGTGCAGTGGTCAAGTTAGTCCTAAAATTATTAATTTTTGTCCAATTTAGTCCTAAACATTTTCTTGATTTGCCGATATAACCTTTTCAACCATTTTAACTAGAAATCGCTAATGTGGACGTTGGGCATCCTATGTGGCACGGTTAGCACTAATGTGGATAATTTTTTACAATTTTGGCCAAAAATCGTTGAGGTTGTGGACCAATGAGGAGAATCGGAAAAACAAAACAAAAATAAAAAGGAAAGAAAAGGAAAGGAAAAATATTTAAAAAAAATAAAAAAAAATTTGAAAAAAATGTCCACATCAAAACCAGCCGTGCCACCTAGATGGCCAATGTCCACGTTAGCAATTTTCAATCAAAATTGGCTAGAAGGACTAGATTGGTAAATCGTTAAAACGTTTAGGACTAAATTGATCATTGAAAAATTTAGAACTGAATTAGCCGTCGTACGATAAATTTAAGACTTTTTGAACAATTATTGCCATTGGAATTTGATGTCTTTCTTCTTCTTCTTCTTCTTCTTTTGAACTGGAATTTGATATCTAAACAACATAGATCAAAGGCTTCAAGATCGTCCAATATCACTTCATTGAACTTGGTTTTAAGTTTCAAGATATATTAAACTAATGTACCTTCACATTGGCCCAAAAAGTAAAACTAATTTACCTTCACGTCATGTCTGGCTTTTGAGGAAAAAAAGAAGATAATAATCCATGTAGGGAAGGAAATTTACGTTTTAGAACTTTTATTGCAAAAAACTTTCATCTAAAAAATGAATGATTTGAAAGATATTTTTCTAAAAACGATCATTTATATTACTTGAAATAATTAGCCAATGAAAAAAATATTTTCATCATCGACAAGAATTTATGTCTAAATATTTTCGTAGACGATAAAATATTTTTCGCTCAATCATTTTTGTGAGGATTATAAGCGATCTTTTTTGGAACAATGTTTTTCTAATCATTCATTTTCTGCGAAACAGATGGAGCCTAAAATGCCAAAACTTTTGCCGAGTTGAACTGGATGTGCTTTTTTCCATTTCCCCAGGTGGAATATTTGCAATGTAAAGTTGATAAACAATGTCAAAACAGGCTTGCTCGTGCCACAAACGTGGGGTTTGGTTCGCAAAATAGAAAGAGGCAAGAATGAAATAAGTATTTCATAGGAATAAGCTTAGAGTAGAAATACTGAAGAATAATCTGCAGAATGGAATAATTATTTCAAGATTTAAGAACTCAATGTCTAGCTCAACAAAGACCTCTGAGTCAACTTTTAAGAACTCACAGTTTAGTTCAATCTTTAAGGCCTCGGAGTCCAGGTCGACTTCTAAGATCTCATATTCTAGTTCGATTTTTAAGACCTCGTAGTCTAACTCAACCTTTTAGACCTCAAAGTCTAGCTCGAACTTTAAAACCTGAGCACCTAGTTCAACCTTTAGGACCTTTGAGTCTAGTTCGACATTTTAGACCTCAGAGTCTAGCTCGATTTTTAAAGCCTCAAAGTCTAATTCCATCTTTAAGACCTCCAAGTCTAGTTCATTTTTGAAGACCCAAAATCTAGTTCAACCTTAGAGTTTAATTCAACCTTTTAAACCTTAATGTCTATCTCAACATTTTAGAACTCAAAGTCTAGTCCCATATTAAGACCTCAAAGTCTATCTCAACCTTTAAGGTCTTGGAGTCTAGTTCAATCTTTAAGACCTCCGAGTCTAATTAGACCTTTAATATCTCATAATATAGTTCGACCATTAAGACCTTATAGTCTAGTTCAACCTTTAAGACCTCGAATTTTAGTTATAACCATTCATACATTAGAATCTAGTTCAACGTATAGGTCCTCAGAGTCTAATTCAATTTTTAAGGCTACGGAGTCTAGATCCAACTCTTGCACCTCGAAGTCTAGGGTTCATAAGCCTAAATTCTATCTCGCCCTATTGGAATTTCCCTCAGTTTACATAGTCCAGTCTAATCGTCCTTAGCTCACCCGGATCTTTGAACCCATTTTCACCCTTATTGCCTTTTTGATCCGACATTCAATCATGTTTTTTAGGGTTAACTTTTGAAAGTCCCATCGATCCTAATTTTCATTCAACCACTAAATTTCGATTTTTCTATTATTACATCTTTGTTTAACCTATCTTTCCCAGCAGCTTCGAATCGAGATCTCAGGCAACTGTTCTTCTCGCTTTAATAATAGAGAGGGAGGAGCGTATCCTCGGCCTTGGACAAAAATTGAGGTTGCAGTGACATTCTCATAAGCGACATTGATAACAGGGAGGGGCAGCTATTGTCACTTCTAATTTTGCCCTTCATTTTACCAAAAAAGTCATTAAGTTTGACGTGAGGTTGATCAAGAGTTGAGGCCTAAAACATATTTTAAACCTCAAAAATGGGTTTTGCTTGTAAAAGCGAGTCTTTGACACCCATATTACTACTACAATCCGACATTCAATATTTCGAAGCAGCCGAAAATTTGCGATTTCAAGATTTTGATCGTATGTCCCAAAACTAGATATCAGAAGCATTAATAAAGCTGAATGGATGTCGGACAAGGAAATAATCGCCGGCCTAACTTCAGTTAATCCTTCCAATACTTGAAAAAAAGAAAGATCTTGGAGCTCAAAACCAAACCTAGAGGGCCCTGGAATCATGCAAATATTGCCAGACCCCTAAAGTATGGTAGATGATGAATTTTGAAAATGATAAATCACTGACACGATACTCGGTTCATAGACTCGAGTATTAGGCCCTGTATGGGTTTAAAAATCGGGTCCACAATTTCGTGATTTCACCTAGTAATATTGGCCTCGTCAAAAAGCTCTTGACCCGAGCGTTCTAACGACGCAAAAATCATGTGAATCGAACATCGAATGCCTAATATATGGACTCGGAAAGAGTGAGCCTCAACTCAAAGTACACACGCCTCTCGAGGAGGCATTTGAGGTGGCCTATTTCACCTATTTGTGCTCGTTTGGGGAGGAAAATAAAAAATAAAAAAAAGAGAGGAAGGAGGGGACGTTATGATCTCTACAACGCTCTCCAGAAATTCTCTTGATTTCGGCATTGTGATGTTTTCAACGTATGTATCCCGACATTCGATTGCAAACTCTTCACTCTCTATGTAGCGACTCTATGTACTAGAATGTGGTTTTATAGGAATTCCATTTTACATGATCAAGCTATTCCAAATCCTTCCCCGGCAATTAAGTTGGTTTTACAGGAGTTCATG